TCAAATTCAATTATTGAAAAAATCTATCGTGATGCTGAAACTTGGTTACGATCAATTGCTGTTAATTTAAAAAATTTATCAATAACTGAACGTTATACAATTTATTTATTTCGAATACCAACAACAGATTTAACAATGGTACCAATTGTTCAATTATCAGATATTGAACAAAATTCATCAATTGAATTAGTTGTTGTACCTGTTGAAATTAATTTAAATCCACATGCCTTATATCGATGTCAATTAAATGTACCAACAAATTGTTCAAAATGTTCACGACTTATAACAGGAATTTATCGACAAGGTTTTCGATGTCGAAAATGTCGTATGACATATCATAAAGATTGTGCACCATTTTCACTTGATGATTGTTCAGTACCTATTGATCCTCCATCACAAACATTAACATCTCAATCTTCACAAATGACATTTGTTTATCCATTTGATTTTGCATCAACATCATTATCATCATTATCAACAGCAACAATAACAACAAATTTAACAGCAAAATCTGATAATACAATTGTACCTATTTATAGTCCATCAACAAATACTTCAAAAGAAAATGAAAAATCAGTTATTGCTACAACAATTATTGATGAAGGTATTTTTCCAGCATGTATTGGTGGTACATGTATATATCGACGATATTTATTTCGTTTAACACCAAATACATTAAAATTAACAACAAATTTATCAACTATATCTTTACCAAAACAACAAATACGTCAATTAAATGATATTGATATAGTTTTTCCATTATCTGATATAAATGATCTTGTTTTAACACATTTTATAGTTGAACGAGATCATATATTTGAAATATATTTTCATGGTAAATTTACATTATATGTTGGTAAAAAAAGTGATTCAGATGATTTACAAATGCAAACAGCACAATTTTATTCATCAATTCGAGATCAATGGGAAGCATTAGCTAATGGTTCATCAACACAATCACAATTATTAACATCGATTTCTACTACTCAAATATCAACACCAATAATTGATAAAGAAAAAACGAGTGATTTAAGACGAAAACAAAGTATTTATCGACGTCCACCATGTGGAACAGGTAATGAAGATAAAGATTTACATGATTTATATACATTTACTGGTGAAAAAATTGGCGAAGGTAAATAGAATAAGAAGATTTGAAATAAATTTTCTAAAATGTTTTTGTTTGTTTTGAATTTAGGTCAATTTGGACGAGTTATAGGTGCTATAAGAAAATCAACAAATCGTAAAGTTGCTATAAAATGTATTGAAAAAGCAAATTGTAGTGAAGAAGATATTCGACGAACAAATGAAGAAATTGATTATCTTTATAAATTTAATCATGTTAATTTTTAATTTAGTTTTTGAAAATTTATTTAATTAAAGTTTTTTATTTTGTTTTATTTTTAGGTTAATATTCTTAAACTTGAAGCTTATTTTGAACGTGGTGATGCTGTTTATATTATAACTGAACGTATGGAAACTGATATGTGTAAATATATAATGGAATCACCTAATAAATGGCTTGATGAAAATATGAGTAAAATGCTTATATATCAAGTTATTATTGCATTACGATATTTACATTCAAATAATTGTGGTCATCTTGATGTTAAATGTGAAAATATTCTTATATCATTTCTTAAACTAATACCACCTAATAATAATAATAATAATAATGATAATAATCGATCTCATCAAATAACAAAATATAAAAATGATTTACCTTTAGTTAAATTAGCTGATTTTGGTTATTCAAGAATTATTGGTGAACATTCATTTCGTAAAACACGTGTTGGAACAGTATGTATTATAATCAAATAAATATTGAATATTTTATTGAAATTTGTATTGTTTTTTTTTTTTTTTTTTTTTTAGAAAGTTTATTGTGCACCAGAAATTTATCGTAGTAAAGAAGGTTATAATCGTTTAGTTGATATGTGGAGTGTTGGAATTGTTTTGTATGCAGCTCTATCTGGTACATTACCTTATGATGAAAAAGATGTTCATCGTGCTGAAGAAATAGTACGTGATAAAAAATTAATGTTTTCTCATCAACGATGGAAAGATATAACAGATGAAGCAATTGATCTTATTTCAAATAAACTTTTAGTTGTTCAAGCAAATACACGTATTAGATCGAGTGTAAGTATTTAAAAAAAGAATTAATTTGTAAATATTACTTGGTTGTTTTTTTGTTCAGGAAGCTCTATTTCATGCATGGTTTACAGATTTTCATTTATATAAAAAATTACGTGAAATTGAAAAACGAATAGAATATGATTTTTCTATAAAACAACAACAATTATCATCATCATCAACATGGCTTACAGGAGAACGTGAAGATCCGGCATGGATGGAATATAAATCAATGTATGAAAAATCAAATGAATAACAAAATAATAATTCTTATTATTTACTTGTCATTTTTTTGTTTCATCTTGAAAAAATAATTATGTAGATAATATATATATATATATATATATTTGTTGTTGTGATGTATATTCGTCTTTTTGTTTTGTTTGTGTTCAATATATAAGCTATCTCGATATTTATTGTATGTGTTATAAGAATTAATCATTTTAATTTTATTCTATAATTATTGTTGTCGAATTGCTTTAAAACTTATAATGAATATAATATTATTCGTAAATATTTTCATTTATTTTCTTGAGAAAAGACCTCGATTCATGTAGAATAAGTTATGTATGACATAATTTTTTTTTTTTGTAAAAAGAATTGCTCTCTTCAATAGTATACACGATTCATATGTCACTCGAGATGATTATTATAGTTATATATTCAAAGAATCTATTCCTATTCGTTGAGATCGTACAAAAAACAAATGACTACCTCTTATATTATTAAAAAAGCTTTTGCTTGAATGGATACATTAAATTAATTTACCATCATAATATATATTTTTTTGTTTCATTCGACAATTTTTTTTTTCATTGAAAAATTTGTAATATTAGTATACACTAAATGAAAGTTGAGTCATGTGTACTGGTTGATCTTTAAAACATACTCTTCTAATTAGAACATCATATACAAATTATTTAATACGACTGTTTTATAATTCTGTATGTTTATTTCTAATTTATTAAAAGAAAAAAAAGTAATGAGTCTTATAATGTTGATTTAATATGAAATAGATATTAGTCTTATTTTTGTTATCTAATAATATATGTTGATAATTGTATTTTTATGTCTAAGTCTTTTGAAAAATTCGTCGTAACAAATATGAAAGATTTGAGAATGTTTTTACATAGAAAAATTTGTACACGGTTGGAAAAAATATTATTCCAGGGGGGTAACGCTATAATTTCAAATAGAAGACATAATAAATTTTATATCAAATGCAAGCTCGTTAAAAATGGGGTTTATTGGTATTAAATAGTGAGGGCTATGAAAACCTTTTAATGTCGAGCTTAATAAATTTTCAGAAATTTTATACTTTTTTTGGGATGGAAAATTAAAGTACTAGTGATTCAAGAATGGAGTAAAATGTTTTTCTTGAATATTTTTACATGGTTCGATAGAGCTCGTCGAGGTCTATAAAACTGTATATATTAAAAAATTTTTAAGACACTTTTTTTGCGATAAAAAATTCAAAAAACTATTTGGAAAATCTTAGAAAGCATGAAAAAAATTCATATTTTTCATGTGGAAGAACAACACTTACTTTTTCAATAAAAGTAGCTTTTTTCATTGTTTTTACTCCGTCAAGCGTTTCGAAACATACTCATTAGACGCAGCTTTTCACACTGCATCGAACGAGTATATTTCGAGACGTCTGAGGTAGTAAAAACAACGAAAAAAGCTACTTTTATTGAAAAATTGAGCGTGTTTCTTCAATTTGAAAAAAAAAAGAATTTTTAAATGTTTTTGAGGTTTTCCGAGTAGTTTTTTGAACTTTTTATCTCAAAAAGATGCCTCGAAAAATTTTTAACATGCACAGTTTTGTAGAGCTCAACGAGGTCTATCAAACCATGTAAAAATATTCAAGAAAAAAATTGACTTCATTTTTGAATCAGTGGCACCTTGATTTTCCACCCCAAAAAAATATAAAATTTCTGAAAACTTCTTAAGTTTGACATTAGAAAGTTTTTACAAGTCTCATTATTTAGTATCAATAAACTCCATTTTTGACGAGCTTTCATTTGATATAAAATTCATTATGTCTTCTATTTGAAATTATAGCGTTACCCCCCTGGAATAATATTTTTTCCAATCGCGTAGAAAAGAAATGAATTTTGATATTAAACATTCAATGATTAAATTATATTTTTCTTAGTTTTCTTTAAAAAATCAAAAAAATCGTTCCAAAATTTTTTTTTCTACATTTATTATTGATTGTATTTGAAAACACATGTAAATATAACCAATTTCATTAATTTTAGTACTTGAATTTATCAAGAAATAACATAATACAATTCAAAAATGCATAAGTTAACTAAGAATAACCAGTCAATGATTAAGAAAGACTAAGAGAAAATATTACAAGAATTACCTGACAGAAAAAAAGAAATAGTTTCATTCAATAATGTCAATGCATATGTCAAGAAAGAATAATGAATACATATGAATAATACTTGTAATACTTTTCTGTCTTATGACACGTCTCAACAACGTGCTACAACAATTATAAATTTGTTATTATACAATAAATATAATTAGAATCTCTGTGTATCAACATAGAAGATAATCATTTTGTTATAGACTAAATATTAGGCGGATATGTCAAACATAAAATTTTAATTATTGATATAATGAATTATGTGGAATTGTGCCAAAAGAAATAAATGGAGGCAATAGAAAGGTCGATATATAATTTTATAAAAATGAGAAGAGCATAAATTTATTTCTTCTTTTTATGGTCTTGGTTCCTGTTTGAGAAGGAAATCTATTTCTATTGAAGAAAAGAAAAAAACGAAAATTTTATCAACGTAAGGGAGTCTTCTGCCCTCATCGTTATATTTCTAATTGTATTTATTAATATTTTAGTTTACTGGTAACAGTTTTTGACGTAGTTGATCGCAATATTTTTGATTTACTATTGTTTGAGAGTGATTAGGTCCAAATGCTTGACAGAAAATATCAACAGCACGTTCAGCATATTCATATGCTTCTTCATATTGATTATTAGCCTCAAGTGCTACAGCCATATTACTCATAGTAAAAGCTAATGATGGATTAGTACTAGATAGATATTTCTGTTCGATTTCTAATGTTTTTTGATAGTATGATAATGCATTTGGATAATCTTTCATTGATCTATATGCTTCACCTATATTATTATATGTACTAGCGAGATCTAGATGATTTGTAAATGATGATGCTTGTTGAATTTCAATTGATTTCTCATAATATGAAAGTGCTTGTTTATAATCGTCCATTGAATCAAATACACTACCCATATTATTATGAATAGCAGCTAAAGATGAATGATTTGACGGAAGAGTTTTTTGCCATATTTCTAATGTTTTTTTATAGTATAAAAGTGCAGTTGAGTATTCTTTCATGGATTGATATACTGTACCAAGATTATTAAAGGTAAGAGCTAATGATGGATGATCTGATTTAAGAGATTTCTCTTCAATTAATAATGTTTTCTCAAAATATGAAAGTGCAATTGGATAATTTCCTATAAATCGATGTATTAAACCAATATTGTTATATGTACTTGCTAATGAAAGTTGATTTGGTGAAGAAATTTTGTCTTGAATTTTAAGTGATTCTTCATAGTATGAAAGTGAAATAGTATATTTTCCCATTAATTGATATACATGAGCAATATTATTATACGTAAATGCTAATGATGGATGATAAGATGGAAGAGATTTTTCTTGAATTTCAATTATTTTTGTATAATATAACAATGCATTTGAATAGTTTCCCATTAAACTATATATTCCACCGAAGTTATTATAACTAAGAGTCAAAGATGGATGATCAAGTGGAAAAGAAGATTTTTGAATTTCATAAGCTTTTTCATAGTATGAAAGAGCATTTGAATAATCTCCTTTTGATTCATATACCATACCAATATTACTATAAACATTGGTTAACGATATTTGATCTAATGAAGAAGATTTCAATCGTATTTCAAGTGTTTTTTCACAATATGAAAGTGCCGTTGTATAATCTCCTAATGATCGATATACCATACCAATATTATCATAGACAGTAGCTAATGATGGATGATCAGAAGGAAGAGAATTACTTTGTATTTCAAGTGCCTTTTCATACCATGACAGTGCATCAGAATAATTTCCCATTGAATCATACATTAAACCAATATTATTATAAGTAGAAGATAATGTAGTCATAAATTTTTCATTATCGTTATCATTAGTTACCTCTACTATTCTATTGAAGATTTCTATAGCTTCATCATATTTACCCATTTTATACAAAAATGTAGCTAAAGAATGCCAAGGAGTTATACCTTGAATCTCATTTCGTATATGATAAGTTAAAATTTTCAATTGTTCATCCATGTCACAAGTTAATGTTAAATTGACTTTCCATAATCGATCGTCAATTTGGTTCATATCCCCAATTCTAAAAATACTATGTGTAGCAAATAAAACTTCATTTTCTGCTTCTAAATAATAACTTGTCTTATCTAAAGAAGCAAATGGAATGGAACACATCAATGGATCGATATTCATTTCAAATAGAATTCCTATTTTGTTATCATAAAGTTTAGCAGTATTTGCAAAATTAAGAGCTGTTTCTTGATTTGTACTTGTTGATAAAAAACCATGAAACGAAAAAAGACCACCTTTATATTTAATAAATTTATCAAAATCAACATCTAACATTTCATGTCCACGATAAACAATAAATTTTACAGTTCGATCAATTTGAGAATAGATATTTTTAATATTTTGATGAACATCACGTATAAAAAATCCCATTTTAATCATCATATCAATATTATCTGTCATTAAAGCATTTTTAAGTAATATATAGATAGATGATTCTTTAGTATACCACCAAATTGGTGAATGATTTTGATAATCTTGTTCAAATTCATCAATTGCTTTTAACATTACATTATCATCAGCATAATATTTTCGACAATAATCAAATGAATCTTTTTTTGCTTTATTATCATAATTAATTTTAAGAATAATTTCTATAAGTAATTTTGAATACATATATGATGGATGAAGTTCATCAAAATTCATATCTACCATAGAAATGATACTAGTAGTTGAATACTTCTGTTTAGATGAATTAATATTTTGTTCAATTACATTAATAATAGATTTAATTTCCGTAAATATTCCTTTTATTTTTTTAGATTCATCTTCCCAAGATTTTTCTTTTAATGGATCATTAGAAAATATATAAACGGAATTGATTTGAATTGTTTCTTTAATAAGATTATTAAGATGACTATGTTGTTGATCAAATGAATCGACAATAATAAGAAATATTTGTTCATTATTAATTGTCTTAAAATAATTACTACATTCATCAATATTATTAAATGTTTCAAAAGAATTAATCATATGTTTAATACTATGAAATGAATTTTTTGTATTTTCATTTGTATGATTAATATCTGAATCTAACCAAATAATAATATAATTTTCCGTAGCACTAGACGAATTTATAATTGATTTATTGATGCTGGTATATTTTGTCATTGGAATAATAGTTGAAGAGAAAAAAAAACCAGCAAATTCAATATTGTTTATTAAAGTGTCTTACGTTAAAGAAATTGAAGAAATCTATTAGATTTCTTTTTCGTAGAAAAATGTCTGTCTATTGCCAATATGTTTTGTTTTATTTACTTATTTATTTTTCTAAGTTGGAATATTCGTTAGTTTTCGTGTGTCATTTAAAATTCTCGTCGCCATATAATAGTTGGTAGAAAAGTAGTTTTGACTCTTTATTTTATTTTTTTTTTGTTGTTGTTTGCAACATGATGAAGCAACAACGGAAGAACAGAAACAAAACATTACTATCAACATACATACGTCTTCATGACCTTGGTTTTTTCCATTTCACATGAATGCAAAAATAAAATAGGTTGATATTTATTCAGCATATAAATAACAGAATTTGAAAATTATCATCAACAGAAAATAATAAGACAATCTTTTATTGTAGAAAAGTAATACTTGAAAAAAAACTTTAAAAATTTTGATTCGATGCATGGTATATGTAAAGAAAAAATAAATATGATATTTTGGTTGGTTGTAAAATGGTCGAAACAGAAAATGGTGAAAAAAGTGCTTTCGAAAATACTGACTTTTAAGACACATTCTTTATTGTATACAATAATACTAACATTCATACACAAGTCAACAGACAGAAAAAAAATTTCACATAATTCAATTCTTATTTCATTTGTTGGGTGATCATAATCATAAATCGTTTTAATCAATTGATCATTTAAATTTGTAGGAATTGTTGCTGAACATTCATTAAGTATACATTGTTAATAATTTCGTAGTTGTTGTTTTTTATTTAATTTAAAAATATAATCATCTGACAAGGGTAAAGATCTTCTTTTTTGTGAATTAATCAATGAAATAATTGGAGATGTCGGCTGACCTACACTCCGACGAAGATGAAACAACTACGGTTATGATGATAGATTTTTACTAGGAAACATCTCTTTTTTTTCGATATTTTCAGGTTTCGACATTTTTTTCTTTCGACCTTTCTATGTATTACACCAAAATTTTTATTAATTGACTCTATTAGTTGCTGACAGGCAACTCATTTTATCAAGATTTGATCTTCATTATGTCTAATTTTGTCGTTTTGACAAATAAAAACTCTAATTGATTGTAATTGTTTCTCCATCGATGATAGAATGAATGACAAAAAAAACCATAAATTGACAAAATTATCATAGAAATACGAAAATAATGTTATGATATATCGACAAAGAAAAATAAAATTGATTGATGAGGTTTACCGCTTACATTTGTCTTATGTCAGATTATACATGAATAGATAATTATTTATCGAAATCAAAGTAATTTCATTAGACTAAAAAGGATAGTTTAAAAGTCATAATCCGTTTTGTGTAATAAATATTCTTGTAGAACTATAAATTGGTTCTTTTAGTTCATTTAGTAAGAATGGAATTTGTCTAGAAATATCTATCATATTTAAAATCAAATTAAACATTTGTATATTATTCAATCAAAATGAAATCGTCGACTAAACGTAAATGAACTGATCAATTTGCATTATGAAACTACTTTGGTTTTATTTTATGATTAATTGAACATCTAATATGTTAACTAGATATAATCGGTAATGTACATTAATTTTGTTTTTGAAAGGAAAGAATTCTAGAAGGAATTTTACAGTGGAAAAATTACTTTTCTTTGACTTTTATCTTTTCTTTAAATGTATTAATTTTTTGACTACTTTTGTAAATTGTTCTATTCTCAGTGTACTATATCTTAATCAATCTTTCACTAATTTCGTTTTTTATTATTTGATTTATTTTGTATCGTAATGATTATCGACATAAAAAAAAAGAGAAATTTTCATAAGACTATAATTCATTGATAATGTTAGATGTTTACCGACAAGGATTTTTTCTTTTTAAAAATAGAATTAATGTACGTCACTGGGTTATATCTAGTTAATCTATTAGATATTCAATTAATCATAAGATAATTATAGAGTAGTTCTTCAATGTGAATTGATTAGTTCATTTACATTTAGTTGATGATTTCATTTTGAATGAGTAAAATATAAACGGTCCATTTGAATTGAAATATGATAGACATCTCTATTCTTCAAACTTTATTATTAAGTACAACAGAAGGATCAATTAATGGACATTTTCAAGTGCACGTTTTACTGTATTTACACGAGCTTTTATTATACAAAGCAACTGTTGAACATAGATCATTTTTCAATCTAATCGTTTTTTTTTTCTAATGTAAATTTATTGATTGTTGTAATTAGTATGTATTTATATATTGAAGCACTTCTGTTGTTATATGAGAGATATATAGGCTATTGTAACATGTTGTTTGAAAACATTAGATCATTACAACTTATATTATTCGAATAAATGCTAAGGTGTATATAATTCGAAATTGAAGTGAATGTTATTATTCATTGATTTATATATGGTTTGATAGACTTTGAAGAACTAATTATGAATATATATTTTTGATTTCAATTATATTACCTATTCGTTTCAAAAAAGTTCCACATGCTGATAAAATCACCAATATAATTAAAATAACTTTTTTCTAATTCAGCATTAAAAAGTGAGTAGAAAATTAATGTAAAAAATCGCTATTAATATATGTAAGACTTATAGCATGTGTTTATGGGCACTTTTGTAAGCCTATCTAATTGTTTGTTATAGAAGATAAGACCGAATGTCATATCTCATTTAGATCAGCTAGTTTTGAATTACAAAAGTATCGATATAGTTTTGTCATATTTTTGTTTTATTGTTGAGAAAATCGAACATTTTGTCGTTCTAGTAGTAAAATGGCCTTGTTCATTGCAGTTTCTATTATAAAAATTCAGTTGAAAAAAGAAAATAAGCAGCATATTCAGAATCAACATGAAAATCTACATCGGATTACATAGATTTCAATAAGTTTTGTGTCAAATAACAAATCGATCATTAGGCAAAATTTCAGAAGAAAAATGCTGAAAGAAAGTATAAGTTCGTTTTTTCGTGGAAGTGATTTTATTAAAATATATATGATTCGGTGCAAATTTCCACGCTGATTCTTAATATTAATAGAAAAACTTCAATTCGAATTCGATTCGATTTAGATTGACTTCGACAAAGATGTTATGTAGTTTGATATAACATCCATTATCTTGTCATGTTTCTTCCTGACAATGACAGTTATCAATCATCTATACTAAAACCTATGTGCTTGTATGTGTCAAAGTATGTTTTTTGTACGATACAAAACGAAGTATAAGCTTAATGTCTTCTAGATCTCAACTGTTTGATACTGCAGGCAAGTCGAACATTTTTCAAGAGGAAGCTATTGATCACCTATTATTATTAGTCAATACTTGGAAATGAATATCATTATTCAATACTGTATATGTTGAGTGTGCTACAGACAGGAGGAAAATGCGAGACTTAAGTACTTTGAAGTACAAATGAAGTGTAGTGAAGTACTGTACATTATTCGTACTTCACTACACTTCATTTGTACTTTGAAGTACTTAAGTCTTACTTCTTTCCCCCTTGGCTATACATTAAGAGGATTATATTCGAGAAGACTTTGTGTAAGGTTAAGCAGATAATGAAAGTTCATCCAAGTTTGATATAATTCCTATGAAAAAGTAAACGACAATAGACTACTAACTTAAAGATAGACTATAGACTAAAAAACCGAAAAATGGAAGAGATAACTGTTATTCGTTTCTAGCGATCATCTTTTATGCAAATCAAACCTTCATGTGACTGTATCGTTACATAATAAAGAAAGAAGTCATGATGAATTGAATATGTTAGAAAGGATTCGATTTAGTTTCGGCCTCTAGTCATTTTACTTCTAAAACCAGAAAATGTTCGATTTTCTCAACAATCAAATAAAATATGAAAAAACTAAATAGATACTTTTGTAAATCAAAATCAGCTGATAAGACATTCTATCTTATCTTCTATTATAAACATCTAGATAGGTTTACAAAAGTGCCTATAAATGCATGTGACATACTCTACATTTATTGATAACATTTTTTTACATTAATTTTCTACTCAGTTCCTCATGCTGTATTAGAAAATAAACTATTTTCAAAAAGTTTGGAAAAAAGATTATAAAATTTTCAGAGTTGTTTTGACAAAAAAAAGTGATTTTGATTATATCTGTGGGCTTATAAGTATTTGAGGCTTTTTGCAACAAAAGAATAATTCAATTGAAGTAAAAAGTATATATACATATAATCAGCTCTTCTAACTCTATCAAACCATATATAAATCAATGAAAAATAAAATCCACTTCAATTTAACGTTATATATATTTTGTAAAGCATGAATAAGATTCATCAATACTTATAAGTAATATCAGATTTTAAATCTATCTATATATATATATATTAATAATAGAATTGTATATAAATACGATCATATTCAAATTCTCATCTTTATTTCGGTTTGTATCGAATTTCTCTGATATTAATATACATCAAATCCATAAATTTAATTAACTATTATTCATGGTCAATGAACGAGTACAATAATGATATATATATATATATGTATATTTAATCCATAGACTTCATTATAATGTCAAATCTATCATAAAAAGAAAAAGTATCTCTATTCTTCTACATTAAAACTTATCATATAAAATTCTCTCATAAAAGAATAAATTAAATAATTCTACGTCATAAATCATCTTTTCTTTTTTTTTTCATAATCTCTCGACATCATTGTTCATATATATATATATAAACTTTGAACAGAAAAAAACAACAACCAAAGAAAAAGAAAAAAAAAACCAAAGCAAACTCTCTCACTTTTTCCGTGCCAAATACACAAAGGAAAAAAAAACACACAATACGCATATATGTATATATAAACACTCACTCACACACAAACACATCCTGTACAAAAGATGACACACATACTAAACAAGCACAAGTTGGAACAAAAAAAAAAACAAAAAAAAAAACAAAAAAAAAC